TAGTTGATAATTTGTTGTATTAAACTTTTGCTGTTCAAATTATTGTCTGGTTTCTGTCTCTTGATAGGACTCTTGATTGATAATGAATGAATGAAACTTTAATGTTCCAAGAAGTTTGTTGTCTGTTAAGATGAATGATGCAAACTTTTAAGAAATGACTATGTGTGTTGTACAGATATGCTGTTACCTATGATTAAGTGGAAAAAATATATAAAGCAGTATGTAGATTGTGTTCTGTGATTTTGTGATTTATAAGAAATATTTATATTTGGACATTCAGACAACCAAAATATAGGTAATTCACATGACCAAAATATATTTCTCAGATATATTTAATCTTCAAATATACGTGAGTTCCTGGCTCACAACTCCCAAAACGCTTGGAATTGCCTTGTAATAAGAGCAATGGGAGCATCTTTTGTTAAAATATTTGGTTTTCTTGTCCTCAGTTCCTGAAAACGCTTCAAACCATAAAGGTGAAATGAGTATCTGGTCATTATTGATAATAAGCCCTTTCCACCACAACTGGGTTCATGTTAATGAAGGTAACTTTTGCAAAGCACCTAAGGATGCGGGCTGGTTAGGGTTGGAGCTTTTAGTTCCACCCTGATTTACAGGGAGGAGAGAGGGGCCGGAGGTTGAATCAATCACCAATGGCTGGGAATTCCCTGGCAGTCCAGTGGTTAGGACTCCTCGCTTTCACTGCTGAGGGCTCGGGTTCGATCCCTGGTCAGAGAACTAAGACACCACAAGCTGCACAGCATGGCCAAAAATAAATAAATAAAAATCACCAATGGCCAATGAGTTAATCAATCATGCCTATGTAATAAAGCCTCCATGAGAGCAAAAAAGAAGGAGGGGGTTTGGAGAGCTTCTATGTTGGGGAACCAAAATGCTTCCATGTGCTGCCATCCTGGGCCCAAAGCTCCACAAGGACAGAAGCTCCTTTGTTCGGGACCTCACCCTATGTATCTCTTCATCCAGCTGTTGATTCGTATCCTTTGATATCCTTTGTAATAAATCAGTAATCTGGTGAGTAACCAGGTTTTCCTAAATTCTATGAGCCCTCTAACAAATTAATCAAACCCAAGGAGGGAGATCATTGGAACCACCCATTTGTAGCCAGTTGGTCAGAAGCACAGGTAACAATGTGGGCTTGCGATTGGCACCTGAAGTGGAGGGCAGCCTTGTGGGTCTGACCCCTTTGCCTGTGGAATCTGATTCTATCTCTGGGCAGATAGTGTCAGAATTGAGAGGAGTTCAGTGTTGTTTGTTGGTCTGGGGAAACCTACACACATGTTGGAATTGGGTACAGGAACGTTTTCATGGTCCTATTTAATGTTTTTAAAAATCTGTGTGGCTATGCATGGTTAAGCAATTCCCCAAGTTCATGTAGTTAGAATTCTGACCTGGCGTTTTGGAGTCCAAAGCTCACACTCTTCCCAGTATGACAGCATTTCTTAAACTGGGTTTCATAGACCTCTGGGAATGTGTTCTCAGGGTCCGTGAGCTCTCCAGACAATGCCTAAATTTAATATTTCATCTCAGTGATAATCTTTAAATAGACATGTTCCAGACCTTCTGGAAGACCATCTTAAAGGAGCACTTGCAGGACATTTGAATTTTGCTTTAAGTTTATGCTAGTGTTGTTACCAAGTCAGATACTATCTTAAATTGTCCCAGGCCAATAAGAAGAGAACAGAGTGGAATTTCAAAATGGGTTCATGCTAAGGGAGGGGCAAATTATACCATCACGGTTCAAACAGAAAAAGATAGTGGGGAAAAAACACTTCTTATTCTGAACAGGGTAGTTTATGCACATGAAACTCAAAACCTGCACCTCGAGTATCAGTGCTATATTCATGTTTGGAATAGCAATTTTCATTTTGGCCAAACATTAACTATTAGGTTAAATTAATATTGTTACATTTAAATCTTCTTGGCTTTGTAGTTGTGTTTTTATTTAAATTTTAAATTTATTTTGGTTTTACAATTGCAGAAGATACATATATATACACATGTATATGGGGTTTATACCTAGTTATATGTTTATACATCAAGTGATGTAGTAAAATAATTTAAAAGTCATCATTGAGAATAAAGAGAATGTTTTTCTTTAAAGGGGCCCATATATGACTGAAATTTGAGAAGATTGCTGTTATAAGAAGCCAGTCTGCTTCCCTAGATATAGAAAAGGACATTAAAAAAACCCAAACAAACCTGAACTACATTATAAAGATGATGATTGGGTTTTTTTTAACCAAATCTAGATGCTAAATCCAATAATGTTATTGAACTCAGGGAAATCAGGACCTATTGTTTTAACTAAAGGGCACACTTGGAGAGAAACTGAAGGGCAGATTTACTGGGCACGTCTTGTCTGGCTTCTCAGGAACCACTCCTGGTGAAACAAGAGTCCCAACTGTTCAGAACAACTTTCAAACACAAATCTATATTCTTCCAACCCTCCTTAGTGAGTCTTCTATGATTAAAACAAACAAAAGATAAAGTTTTCTTTTAGGATGCAAGCAGCAAGTCCCTAGCAAGTATCTCTAATCAGGAGCCATCCTACACTGAGAAAGTAGGTTGTCACAGGAAATTGGAAGAAAGCCAATTTGGGACTTAAGCAAAATCCCCCAACTTGTATCTGCTGGACAAAGTGGACCCTTAGTCTTTAACGCACAATAAAAACAGCAAGGCCCACAAAGCCCTAGGTTGTGGCTTTAAATAATCTGGCTCTTGGCCACTGGATGATAGACATTTTTATGGAGTCGGAACTGAGTTCTGGGAGCTGGCAGCCACGTCAGCAGGTGTGGAGTATGCCCTATCTTTGAGGAGAATCCAGGGCTTCTAATTATGGGTAAGTCAACTGCTCCCTGATTTATGCAGAATATTTTGGGGATGCCAGTTACTGAGCCATCACATCAAGATGGACACTTCAGGCACCATTAAGGTAATGGAACATTTAATGCCTCAAAAAACAAAATTTATTTCCCAAAGTCCCACACTGGCACGGGCCACTTCCCTATCCCCTCCCTCAGCCTGAGACAATTGCCAGGGCCATGTGTACCTCCTTCCTTGCGCTGCTCAGTATTCACTTTCCTCCCTCCCTCCCTCCCTCTCTCCCAACCTGACCTTCCTCCCAGCCAGAATTCATTACAACCTCCCACAGGGCACCTGAGACACAGACACTTGAATGGACGTTTGGCACGGAAAGCGGTGGGCTTGCCCCTCAGTTCCACAGCTGTTCTCAGGCCTACTCGTGTATTTTAACCCCGACATCACTTATTTTTAAACTGCAGAAAGGTGAAGCTTCTCAGACAATGTGATTTTCCCGTGACCCAAACTGCCTTAGGAAAAAGCCCCAAGACTAACCCAGAAAGTTACTGTTGGGTCTCCTCAGCTCTTTCTTATCAAAACCAACTGTTCCTTTTCAAACACCTCGGTGTTTTGTGGTCCCACCCTCTCTGCCAGAGCTCAGTCCCATGCAGACCTTGGCCTTGGGTCTGGCAGGGCTTCCCTCATTACCCTGCCCCCTCCGCCGGCCCCTCCCTCCCTCCCTCCTCTCCTGGAGGAGGGCTGCTGCTGCTCCTGCGGCTGGATTATAATAGGCCCGGAAGCTGAAGGGGGAGTTGTATACACTTTTATTTCAAAGCTTTATGTGAGAAAAAAAAAAAAACTGCATGGCCAAGACTAGGTATAAAGACTTAGCTGGTAGACTTTTGTTTAACAATGGGGGTGAGTCCTAAAATTTTAATGGTGAAATTTTCTGAAAAATTTACAGAAACATATAAACTGAAAACCTTTTTGTTTTGCTGAGATAAGTGGCTAGAGATGAAGAACTGTGCTCAGTAATAAAGCTCAGTAGTTGGGGCACTATTGGGAGTCATAGAATGATAGCCAGGTCCAGAGTAGGACAGAGGCTGGTCTGCTCTAGCTAGTTCTTGCCGGGGAATGTGGAACCATTGTTGCCAGATCTGATTTTTCAAGAGAAGCTCTAAAATCTAATTCGTATGTGTGTATATATGAGTATGTGTATTTGGAATCTGTCAGTTTAAAAACGTTGGCTCGGGACTTCCCTGGTAGTCTAGGGGTTAAGACTCCGCGCTTCCACTGCAGGGGGCACCCGCTTGATCCCTGGTCGGGGAACTAAGATCCCACAGGCCGCATGGTGCGGCCAAAAAAAATAAATAAAATTTTTTAAAATTAAAAAAATGTTGGCTTAATTTTTCAGAAAGCAGACCAAATAAAACTTACATTTCACCTCTTCTGAATTTAGAGACTCTATTCAGGGTAAAGTTTCAGAAAAGAAGACAGTGGAAAAGAGTCAAATCAGTCAAGTGTTAAATACCTGTATTTAGGGTTTCCTAAATACAGTATAAAAGATTGCCTCCAGTCCAGACGCAGTTATAATCTCCATATATATGCTAGCAAATCACAATAGAAGTTCTCTTTGATAGAATTTGTATGGTTCAATCATCTCCTTTATCCTGTGTCCCTTTTTAAAGATCAGACTGAAGTTTTGGTTTTCAGTAACCACAGGGCTGACTTTGATCAGAAAGCTTGCAACTTACCAAAACATAAACCAGAGGTCAAGTCTATCTTTCTTCCAGGAATATGCACACTTGTATTCAGACAGTTCAGCAG